TCACGAAAGTACATGAAGTAAAAACAAACGTGCATGAACACAAAGACCCAGAGACGATGATGCCGGGAGTGAAATTTAGGTCGTTAATAACATTCGGGGTTTTTTTTTATCCCTCTCTAGGTGATGTTTCTACAATATTACTTACAGAAGGTGAAATTCCGCGGCATGCGTGTTTCTCGGAGTGGTTTCCGTTAGAAATCATTCTTCTAAAAAAATTTATAAAGTGTTTCGGCGGGCCCCATTCCCCACAGGCGAGCCGAGCGAGGATCCCGGAAGCTTTTCGAGTGACCTTTTTTCAGGCTTTATTGGTGTGTTAATTGCTAGGTTGGTAATCAATATTGCTCAGTTTTATATAAGGCACATCAGTCTAAGTGATTGGTTATAATTACCAGAGCTCGTGTGGCCAGATTGGGGCCACTTCTGAAATGGAATGTGTTTTTCTATTGTCCATTTAATATCCACATTCCCCATTAGGCGCTACTGGAATCGCCTCTCCCTGGTAACCTCCCGATAGTGCACAGTTGGGAACCGCGTCTTTGGTCGTTGACCCAAATTAGGAAATGACAGAATCCAAAGGTCTAGATTGATTCCTAAGTGTGGAAAAAATGCAATTGTAATTGAAGAGAGGTCCTCCATTTGTACGATCAAAAACGTTATTCCATCGCTCTGTATGGATCTCCAATCAAGTTTGTATGGAAAGCTCCCTGGATGAAATACAGTAGAGCCTCTCCGGTTCTTATCAGAATCACACAGACTCAAAAAGAGATATTGCATGGTGTTTACCGCAAGCTTTCCATCTTAGTCGTCTGTCACCATGAATAGCTTGAAATCCCATCTGAAATACAGTACTTGATCACTACTTTCATCTGAATGACACAAGGTCTATGTTCCACGTCTGTGTGTCCTTCTGGGAAAGTAGGGCTGTGCCGAATATCCGAATAAACGAATATTCGCATATTATTTTCCGAATTTGTATATTCGAAAACAAAATTCATGAAAAGAAAGGGAGAAATTTCTTTTGTCTCAAATGAGAAAAATATCACTATGGAGGCTTGTTTCCAGCAGATTTAGTGGACAGGGACAGAAATCTTCTAACGACTCAAAAAGTAAACACGTCATTAAAAATATTAAAAGGAATAGACATTTTCAACAGGGTACTAAGAAATGGTTCGTCTCTTAAATCTTGCTAAATTGTGGCTGGAGATTACTCCTAGACCTGAGTAGATAGTTGTTATTATTGTGTGCAGTATTGCAACTGATTTTGAATACGGTTTCATCATCAACAATCTGCCGGTTGGTAGGATCAAATATTCGGACATTCGATCGAATTGAAGGTCGGATATTCGGATTGACTTAGCCCTATGGGAGGGACTTGAAAGTAAACCATGATTTCCTAGCCAGTGGAGTATCCAGGGGCGAGGCCAAGCTTATTTTTATTTATTCTTTTTGTATTAAATCAACAGTAGCAACTGAAAGGGTCACTCATCATGTACACATAAAAAAAATAATTACACGTGAGTCCATAAGAGGAAATAAAATGTTATGAAGATAACAAGGATTTTGAAAAGGCACACGAGGAAAACTTGCCGGGTAAAAAGCAACCAAGGGGTCCACGCAACTAACAAAAATAAGACAGTTGCCGTGCATTTGAGATAACTCAATAAAGTAAGTTATATTTGCACATAACTCCATGATCTGGGACATTATGTGGAATGATGAAAGAAAGCAAGTTATTCGAGGGTTTGATGAATTGTGGAACAGATGTTTTCCGTGAGCCTAAGCATAATTCGGTGGGTTTATTTTTGATAAATTCTGTTTTCTTAGACTAGGACTGGGTAGCAGCTGTGTGACACACTGGGGATGTACACGTGTATTCTAAAAATGTACTTTACGTATAGGTTTGTAAAAGAGTTACCATAATGTTAGATGGGAGCACCTTGTGTTCTCAAAATGCACAAAGTATATAAGCCACCAGAAGCATTGGAAGCAATTAAAAATATGCAAATTACATTTAAAATCGCTCTGAATAATAATGCTTAAAGCTTCAAATGTGACATTACATTTAATTGATAGCCATTGACAGTATAATTAATGAGTTTGGCATGAGTTTAATGAGGTTGTCCGTCATGAAAAGAAATAATGGCGATGTACGGCACTCAGGACTTGTGTAGTATGATGCGTGCGTAGCATGAATTACTGATCTCCAAACACATAAAGGCGCCTTTCCATATCTAATCTGCTTTATGGAACGCGGTTTCCTGAGTGTTAGACTATCGTCCCTTACAGCAGTGTTTACATGGCAACATTAACTGGTAAACAAAACTTGCGACGATCCCTAATTATGCAAGCAACGAGGGCAGTGGCGCACAGTCATTGGCCGGTGAGTCTCATGCCATGCCTGCCGATATGTGATGAGCGCGAACGTGGTTGGTGGAAGGTTTTGTTCATAGACGATCACGACAGGCGATGAGTTCAGTGCAGTGCTGATGACAGCAACACATTCGCCATAAACGAGAATATCCCTTCACCTCCCCAACGACCACCCTTTGTTGGTTTCTCTTCTGGGGGTTCAGGATTTCCTCTGAGTAGGCGTTATTTCCCCACCAAAACACTGTATTACATTTAAGCATTAAGATGTTTACACCTAAATTCAATCTGATTGTTGATAATGACGGTGGAGTTGGAAGGGTTGAAGCTTGTCCAGTTATTATAAGACTTACCTGCATTTATATTGTGAGTTACTGTGACTAAAAGGTGAATAGGTAAATACATTTTGTACATAATAAAAGAGATTTGCACATTAAGGATTAATGCTTGGGAGTTTAAACAACAACAGTAGAGTGAATTCTTTCCTGAGATGAAATGCAGTGTATATTGTGTAACACGTTTCTGGAAAGTTGTAAACATACTCGGTATGCAATGTTTATTTGGTATTTGATCTTGTGACACATGAATAATAAGAAAATAAGATAAAGAAAATATAATTAGAAAATAAAATTTAAAGAAAATATAAAGTACTCCTGAACCCCTAGCCGACTTTGTGTCTAAAATAACATTGTGCTTTATTTATGTGTTTCGGGTACCACCTGTCCATAAATGTAACGTTTTTGGTGCACTGCGTACACGATGCGTTCATGCGTTTCACTTTCACGGACAAAAAATCGATTTCGTTAACATATTAACACACGTGTGCCTTGCGTTCAGCCGTCAAAATCGCCCCGGGAGCTTTTTTGACTGATATACACAACGCTTGGCGCAAGTGTTGACGTGCATGTGGAAAGGCAACTTTTTGGAATTACTTTGGAAATAACAACGGAAAGATTAACCCTATTTAAATGCCTTGGTGAAGTCTATCGTGGCAAGGTAAAAACGTGGTATCTCTGTCGAGTTCCTTCGGTACAAATTTCAACGTACATGTGTCTGCAAGATAAAGGACACTGGAGTATCCCTCAAGATTGCCAAAACGAAAAGCGGAGATGTCGTGAACATCACAATACTTCATGCAGTGTCAGCTAAAAAGCACCGGAAGCCAATGACGTTAGTGACATAGGTCGTAACAGATCAAAAGACGTAAAACTGCCCCAGGAGTAAGGACTGCAGTTTCCACCAGGTAAGGACCACTCCCTCATGCAAATATGCATTATGTTGGTTAGTGGTTCAGCCAGTTCAGGACATAATCCAGGATCCAGGAATATTTCCCGGATGGGGGTCAGACCGCGGATTTTTTTTTCATGTCTCGTTCTTGCGGACAAGTGGAAACGATGGTAGGCCTACATGACTTACATTGTTTACAATGGTATTGGTGCATTCAGTTCTTATTTTATTGGTCTCAGAGCAGGGCGTGTTTGACCCCCCCCCCGCCTGTGGTTTACAGGTAACTTGGATTTGGTTAATCTTATTAGACGGCTTAAACTTCCTTAGCGCCTGTTTATGTATTTGGCCATAATATATCTTAGGCGGGGGAGATTACCGGTAGCGTTTACCCGGTATAGGTAATGTTTCATCCAATGGCGGAAGCTGACCACAAATCGTATCAAAGCGAGTGCTGATTGCAGCTGCGGTTCCCAGAGGGTACCCAGCACCTGGAATATGGACGTGTTTGGCTGTAAGATTTCTTGATGTTTTAATGTATTTGTGCCACCTTCCCAGACAGGTGATTGGATCTTGCCCGGATTGGTTATAATTACTCTTTGCAACTCTTATTTACTTTTGAACTTTGTTAAGTAACCAACGCCATTAACTTTTAAGTGATTGTGTTTGCAAGCATGATCCCTTTGTCTCATTAACTTTGAATTTGATCAGTAGTCTAGTGTTTGTCAGTTCTTGTAGGAACTAAGTTCTTGAGAAAACAAATCAACAGATCCATTGGCTGAAGGTCCAGAACAGGATCTGCCCCCATAACGACATGTGATCCATCAGTGAGTGGAGCACACTGCTTGCAGAGTCGCACTGGGGATGAGTAAGGGTGGCTTATTTCCTTTTGAAGTTAAGTTCGTAGACAGGCTTCAAGAGGATGAAACAGTGGACACTTGAGCCATGTGGGACTTGACGTAACAGCGAGTTGAAACAATCTGGGCAATCAAGGAAGATCCGTCGAACGATTTAGATGTCAGTCATTTGGAGCAAGTCGACCGGATCTGACGTGAATCAGGCAGAAGATCGTTGAAGTCCTCAAAAAGAGTGATCGTTGCTGAGATGTTCTGTGTCCTTGTCTCAACAACGGTCTGCTGAATATGGTCAGGGAGTTTATTTCCACAATGGAAAAGACTGGATCCGCCCCTGCACTTCCATTATCACAACATCGGCCCAGGGGGAAGATTTCCACTTGCGGCTGGCACAATGGGTGTAGGTGTGAGACGCCTGGGAAATATCAAAGTTGGGTGAAGTGGTGTACTGTATTTCCTCTCACTACGGGCTACACGTTTCCTCTTTCCACGGTGGATATTACCATTGCAT